GCTCCTCATAAGACTTGTTCTCCAGACCCCTCACCAGCCTCGTTGCCCTTCTCTGGACACGCTCCAGCACCTCGACGTCCTTCTTGTAGTGAGGGGCCCAAAACTGAACACAGTATTCGAGGTGCGGCCTCACCAGTGCCTCAACAGAGGTGGGAGAGAGGCAGCCTTGAGCATTTAAAGTCCTGGAGCACAGTTTTGACCTGAGAGATTGTTCTTAGACAGATCATATCTTTGTTTCACCCCTTGTCTGGAATGAAGTAGTCCTAGTCTGGTTCTCAAGCGAGGAACCAGACCGAAAAAAGGAAGCAGAACAACTGATCAGATAGGATTTCACAAGCATCTACACCAGAAAGGCACACAAGCGATATTTAACAGCCAGACCCCTTTACCACAAAGAAGATCACTTGTTGGGATCCTCTCCAGCACCACAGTACTGAGTTTTCAGCCAAATGTTCTTCATCTCCTGAGAATACGGATAGCCAGGTGACAGGACAGCACTAACTGCATCAACCCACCGGAGAAATATATTATTAGGATAGGCTAGGCCAGAATAGACTAGACTAGACTAGAACAGAATATTTTTCAGTTAGACGGGAACTACAGCCATAATCTACTCCAAATGCTTGACCATTTCAGGGCTGACCAAAAGTTAAAGCATGTTATTAAGCCCATTGTCCAAATGCTTCTTAAACACTGACAGGTTTCGGGGCATCGACCACCTCTCCAGGAAATCTGGTTCCAGTGTTTGATTATTGAGGGTCTAAGGGAAGGGGAGTGGAAAGAGGGGAGGAGAGGAGAAAGAGGAACAGGGTTATAGAGAGGAGGATGAAAGACAGGAGGGAAGATTGGATTGAAAGCCAGAATGGAGAGAGAGAAAGAAGAGAGCTGCAAAAGAAAGGACTCGAGAGAGCTATAAGGCAGAAGAGAAGCTAGAGATAAAAGAAAGGAAAAGACTGGAGAAGGGAGAGGGGAAGAAACGAGAGAAGAGGAAAAAGGAGAAAAAACTACAGCCATAATCTACTCCAAATGCTTGACCATTTCAGGGCTGACCAAAAGTTAAAGCATGTTATTAAGCCCATTGTCCAAATGCTTCTTAAACACTGACAGGTTTCGGGGCATCGACCACCTCTCCAGGAAATCTGGTTCCAGTGTTTGATTATTGAGGGTCTAAGGGAAGGGGAGTGGAAAGAGGGGAGGAGAGGAGAAAGAGGAACAGGGTTATAGAGAGGAGGATGAAAGACAGGAGGGAAGATTGGATTGAAAGCCAGAATGGAGAGAGAGAAAGAAGAGATGATGGCTGCAAAAGAAAGGACTCGAGAGAGCTATAAGGCAGAAGAAGGCCTAGAGATAAAAGAAAGGAAAAGACTGGAGAAGGGAGAGGGGAAGAAACGAGAGAAGAGGAAAAAGGAGAAAAAACATAGGCATGAAAGGAGAGGAGAGGAGAGGAGAGGAGAGGAGAGGAGAGGAGAGGAGAGGAGAGGAGAGGAGAGGAGAGGAGAGAGCAATGTGGGGATGAGTGACTCACTGAGGAATATCACGAGGCAGTAGACGATCATGGCACCGTGACCCAGGGGGTGCTCAGGGCTCTGTGCCAGCCTGTCCAGGAGAGGATCGTGCTGCCTGATTGCTCTGTCTTGCCTTCTTGATCTGTCTGACTCAAGTTAAGTTGTCAGAGGGGCAGGGAGAGGAAGTGATGCATAATGAAGTTAAGCCGCCAACCATAGCTGGGAGCTTGGGGGAAGCTACACCCTGGATGTTGCATGTTTTGGGCTTGATACTGTGTTTTCAGAGATCTTTTCCTCCCACAGCTCTAGATCAGCTTTGGGCTGTCTCTTTGCCCCATGAACCATTGTCCGCCTCATACCTCCCCTGAACTGGTGGACAGAAGGTGGCCATTATCTATTCTGTCTTGCCTTAAGCATCTTCCTCACTACGAGTGACAAAGAGGCTCAGTTGTAGCAAGGTCTTTTATTCTTGTTTCCATTTCCCAGACCACAGAATCCAACCTTCCCCTTCTATTTTTTCCTTCGCTCCCATCATGCCTGTGTCTAACCCAAGAGTCCCAAGACTAGAGGTGTCTGTAGTCCAGCAACCTGCAGACAAATGGCTGGGAAGCGACATCTGCAAACAGGTCCCACGAAGATGCTTTCCACAACTTTCTCTTGTATTGCACCAGAACTGGCATAGCATCAGCAGGTGTACAGGGGACACTTTTGGATGATTTGGAAGCTGTAGAGGACTCAGGGACCCGTCTTAAGATACGTCAACATCCATTTAAAACGCTGGTTTGGCTGTTCAAAGCAAAGGAGACTAGAGAAAAAAAAAGTCCTTTCCTCCTTCTTTCTTTCCTCCTCCACTGAGACAGAGAAGGGGCCGCAAGTGAGGCACCTTTTCAGCAAAGACACGATCCAGGTAATCCCGAGATCAAATACCACTTTAACTAATCAGGGCCATAGCATAAGCCCTCGTGTCAACTTTGTTGTGGCGTTTATTGGTAAGCCACCTGACTTGCAACAAGCGTGCTGTTGCTAGCTGAAAAGGCTTGTAGGAGGCCCTCAAAATGTCCTAGATCTTGGCAGTCAATGCGGTGTTAGTGCCCATCTTGCACTCAGAGGATCGGAGGTTGGGATGAGGAGATATTGCTGATCTGAGCTGCCACCATCGCACCTGCATGGCATGGTTTTGGAGGAGGCTGCTCTGCATTGCTCAATATTTTGGGGACTTGGGTGTGGTCCACTGTCATGGTTTAACCCCAGTCGGCAACTAAGCACCACACAGCCGCTCGCTCACCACCACCCGCCTCTGAA